GACTTCTGACCACTCTGCTTCTGATGCTCTCTTCTGTTTCTGTGATGTCTTTAGGGTTAAGATGAAACTCAGCTTATATGCTAATGTGGAGACTCAAGAATGGGCGGACTCTGTATCCGTCCGTGTCCAATCAAGGACTGACATGGCAGATATGTTAACATCCTCCTTTAGTTGTGTAAGAGATATTCCTAGCAGACGGCCCGCGGCAACCCGGGTGGCGGAAGCCCGCCTCCCCAATGGTCACAGCGGCCCGACCAATCAGGTGTCGAGGCCACAGAGTACAAGTGACAACGCTGGCGTCGTGGCACGTGCTACTTCTTTCAGTATAATTTATTGTCTTGTGTAATTTTTTCAAATAAATAATTTTGTCGCCTACAATATAATTTAATTTACCAAGAGACGACGACCAGAGGGAGCTAACAGTTGTTTGGACAATGTTAACGACCTGTATACGACCGCTCCTCCTCTTCCGGGTGTTCTTTTTATTGGCGGCATTTTACAGTTACGTCATGCTTGGTATTTCTATGTAAAACCCCTATTGTATGTATAACACTTAAAATATGACTCTTTTTCTGTAAATTTAAAGAGTTTCACAACTTAAAAAAAAAACATTATTTTTTGTAACTATTATAAAATCCTTTGAAAATTATGCTTTTATAGATTGCTTTTTTTAAATTCTATAATTGGAATGTCATCTTTGAACGCTGAAATAAGGATTTTGTATTTATTAGTTTTTTTTTTTACGAACACAGAAGTGATTAGAAATGTCAAGACTACTCCACAGATCTTTTATACTATATATATATCGATGTATTTACATATGCTATCGTTGATGCTGATCATGGCCGCTGTGATACCGTCCCCATTGATGTACATGAAGTAGTACCAAAGGAACTCCATCCCGGCAACCAAAATCTACGCCGAAAATTAACAGCGATCAAACGATGGCTTAATCTCGCACCCAGGCGAGGTAATGGTGGGCATCAAGTAAAAAAAAAGAATGGACCGGGCGATCCTGTAAAAATGGCGCCACTCCATCACCGCATCGTCTGATTACATGGCCGAATTCGCCATGATGGATTTGGGCCCAGATCCAGGAAACGAATTGTTCACTTTAACACCATTGGTCAATCGGTCAAGAGCTCACAAACTTGGAAAAAACATTGATTGTCTGCCATTTATTTCACAGCTTTTAGGCTTATTTCTGGCTATCAATTTATTTGTGAAGGAATTAATTTATGATTTTGAAATGTTTATTCCAGTATCATCAACACAATGTTTACATGATGTGACGGCCTAAACTCTAAGAGAAATATAGGATTGGTTTTCACCTGTGATCCCTCTTTTTTTTTTTTTAGCCTTAAATTTTTGTATTTTTAAATCATTCTAACCAAATAAATTTATATAATTGGGTTATCACTCTATATGGCGATCATCATAATAAAAATGCTTTAGGGAAATTTCCACTTTAGGCCTCCATAGCTCTAAGTCCCCCTCCCTGACCGTACAGCGTTCTTTACATTTACCCTAAGTTTTAGTATTTGCCTTTTTCTTAAAGGTATTTAATAACCTCCAATGTCTCCATTTGATTATTAACATCGTATTTTATTACTAATTACACACAGAAATGTGACACTGTGAAAGATCTTATTCGCGAGAACTTGAAAAAAGATCAGAAACCGCTTAGGCAAAACTAAAACAGCAAGTAGTGACATAAGCGCGCCGAGGAATAGGCAAAGTCCAAAGACATATGGTAATCAAAACCATAATTATTCTTACTTAATTCTATCAGAACAAAGTTTGTTGGAACTACCATTAAATTCCTGTGTTATTATGATCGACTTGATGATTTTAATCTTGAAATTATTGGATCATTCGGATGTGTCCCCTTCATTCATTTGTCAAATTTATTTGACAATATAAGCAGTTTAAACTCATCAATTAGGTGGAAGTTTTGTGGTTTATTTGTAGTTGATTAGCGAACTAATCTCCCATGTCTTCTGTTTGGACAAATGTGGCCATGTTTGTATATAAGGGGGAACCATAGCTATGCTGGAGTGTACGTGTACGTATCTGGTGATCTCGCATACCTGTGTAACCCCGGTCCGTTCCTATCAAGGCTGCAATAAAAGATATGCACTATATTTTTTATTTACGTCCTTTTCTTGTTTTTGTTGAATTCCTTAGTGTACGCTTTTAATTGTGTTAAGTTACTTTTACTTTAGGCCCTAGTATATTGCACTTTGTGTATTAACCGTAGAAGTTTTTTTTTCACATTACCATAAAAGGTATAAGGGAGGGGGGGGGTGGGGCTAGTCTTCTGGTACATCATTGGTTGATTTGTCTATTAGAAAAGTAGCATCATTGTGATATACGATTTCGGTTATTTTGGAAACTTTAGACATATGAAATTTCTCAGATTCTTCTTTTGCACAAGTTTCAAATAATATTATTTACAGAGAGATAGTTTAATTTATATATGTCGCGATAAAGGATATCCTTTCGGCTGATAGATTTGTTAATCGCAAGCACTTGCAGTCATGGGGTTCATGGTCAGAGTGGTTTCGGGCATCAATGAGTAACACAAAAGGACGAAGCAGGTTGGATATCACCTAGAAGAGAGGCCAGCGTCGAAGACGCGGACAAGGTCCAGGTGGGTGTGATCTACATGAAAGGCAGAGTTGATCTTATGCTGTCCGACAAAGAGGCGGAAGTAAAACAAACTAACGACTTCTGAAAATGGAACTTCGTAGCGAGGATACATCTTAGTTTTGATCCTTGAAGACAAAATTTTTGCGCAAATTTAACACATAACATGACAGAGCTAACCGAATTCGAAATTAAATAATGCAAGATATTGATTTAAAAATGTATTTAATACGGTAGACCAGAAAATAGACTCACTCCGGCCATATATACAGTTGCCTGGCCATCCTTGCAGCCCTCTATATGGCAGATTTCAATCCAGAAGAGGACACCCATACGGACAAGGCACCTTAGTTGGCCGGTATTGTGATCAGGGTGCATGGACTGATCTGATCTGATCCATGGACAAGACACTACCACCAGAAAATAAATGTGTTTAGAGAAGACGTCGTTGGCCGGGTTGGATCGATTAAAGAAAACATCATTCCATTGGAATCTCGTTTGAGCCAACTCGATCATGATTGGAATGTCATCACTTATTCAATCACTTATTGTCCGTTCTTGCCTCTATCTGTTTGCCAAGTTCATCACTCTCTGGCCCCTATTTTTTTTTTTTTTGTTCCATGTTCAATGTCACGCAGTGTGTAAAAAGATACAAATTTTAGATAAATTATTGTTTAGTTATTAACATGTAATGCTTATTAAAAAACTTTCTATCGCTCTCTTATGTCCATAGTTTGCTTATATACCATTCCTGAGATACCACCAGTCATTGCAGCGTATAGAAGCAGAATTATTCAATACAGTATTAGAGCTCTGAAGAAGCGGTCTGGTAGATTAAATTGGCGAAACCGCTGGGAGGGTTCACCACTGATGAGCGAAGCCCTCCCAATATTTTTTTCATCACAGTAAGGACAGTAGAGGTTTGATTAATGTGTAAAAGAAATATTCGCGTTTTAATGTTTTCATTTACTGTATTAACATTTTTTATCTTAATTTTTGGAAATAAATTAAATCTGAAATAAATTTCTTAAAATTATCAGCATAAAACCGTTCCCAGGGTCGAAAAAAGTCACATGGAAAATATTTAATATTTTCCGGAGTAGATAATATTTTTATTTATGATAATAGAGATAGTTTAATTATATCAATAGAGGTTCTCAAGAGAGACCATAGCTTAAAAACTTGGCTAAACTTGTCTTTCATCAGAGATTCTGACTGACATGAAAGAATCTTTAATGAAAGACCACCTCTTGGAGAGACTGGTTAAGGGAAGCGGCTGTGTCTAGTTTTCCTCACTGTTTGGCTAAATACATGTCATTTTAACCATTGGAAATGTTTATAAATCCAGTCTACTTGTTTGATATTTTATTGGTAAAATCACATTTAATTTGAATGCTTTGAACACTTCTTAATAACACTGGTCAACAACATTTTTGCCCAAGAGAACCTGATGGTGTTTCTAGTGTAACTTTTCATGCTGAACTCAAAATTCTAATCATAAATTTTCCATCACCCATGCTTTTTACGTGACAGCCTTTTTTTTTTGGTATTGGGATAAATACAGCAAAAAATGCAAAAAAAAAAAAATACGTAAGCATTTTTGCATAAACCTTATTACATTACACTAGTTTATTAAAAATTATTTTTCTTTGTCCCAAAAGAAAGAGCATCTAAATTTAACTCTTTGTTCTGATTCCAAATATACCATTAGTTTTTTCTATCACGCAAGATTTTTGAGATACACCTACTTGAAATTTGGAAATGTTTTTAATATATAGGCCTACTAGCCGAATGACCCGGGCAACGCCCGGGTTTTACCCGATTAAATATTTTTATTCAAATACTATTCGTTACAATTGTAAATTGGCGCCGTGGATGTCACTCTTGTGAAACGTCCCGCTCCAAACTTTGTGTTAGAGAAGCGATATTTTTATAGGAAGATAATCTGGCTTTTGTTTTCTGCTCGAATGAATGTTTTTCTGTTAGAATTTTGTTCCTGCGTACAAAATAACGAACTGGTTTCACCCGTGGTCTCTGCTTTTTGGAATTTTTCCCGATATAATTTTGTATCTGATAATCAAACATGATACAGCAATATCGTCATCATCATTTTTTGACTAAAAATATATAGTTTTAATAATTGATTTATTTTTTTTTAAATAGCCTATCGTCTTCCCCGTATTTTTTTACCTATGTATGGAAATTTTGGTTTGAATTAGTGAACTTCTGCGAATTTGTATACCGGACATACAAACAAACATACAAACATTCATCTACTTATATAATTGCCTTATTCTGTCTGTGTGAAGTTCACGGATAGATTTTGGTCAGAATGGATAAAATAAAAAAAGTGTCAAGGGATGGGAATCGAACCCACGACCTTCCGCTTACCGGGCAAATGCCATGACCACTAGGCTACCCTGGACATATTTTTCCGTTCATAAAGTTAATTTAGTAGGTGAAATGCAAAAAAAAAAAAAAAAAAATCGACATGATGAAATCTTTATGAAAATTCACATTTTTATTTTTATATTTTCAAGACACACACAGTTTGGGGCGGGACGTTTCACAAGAGAGACATCCACGGCGCCAATTTATAATTGTAACGAATAGTATTTTAATTAAAACATTTTAAAAACACACAGTTTGGAACGGGACGTTTCACAAGAGTGACATCCATGGCGCCAATTTATAATTGTAACGAATAGTATTTGAATTAAAACGTTTTTAAAATATATACGCACTCGGGTAAAACCCGGGCGTTGCCCGGGCCATTCTTCTAGTTTATATATATATAGATATGAACGAAATATATTTATTTTATTTTTGAAAAGTAGTGACAGTGGATTTTCTTCTATACTTTGCTTGTGGTACATCCTTCTTGAGTGTCCAGCAGTAGTCAGCAAGCATACCAGGACTCCATTTACCTTGGTACCGCTTCTCCATGCTTGATATATCTTGATGAAACCTCTCACCATGCTCATCGCTAACTGCACCAAGATTGTCTGGAAAGAAATCCATATGTGAATGTAGGAAATGGATCTTGAGAGACATGTTACATCCCAGTGCCTTATAATTTACTTTTCTTTCATTCAACTTACCTCCTATGACATAAAAATGGTTCCATTATATATAATATTTTTATTGCTGTGTTTCATTTCAAAAACCTTTTATTAATCGGAACAATATTAGAGGGCACAGATTTCTCAAACAAGGTTTATATTTAAATTTAATATCTAAAATAATACAATAAATATTCTCTCTTGCTAAAAGATAATTAATAAAATTATTTTCTTATTTAAAATGTAAATTTTCAAATCTGTATGTATGGAAAAAAAGCGATAAAACCTAAAATGTATTTTCAGGTTAACCAAAGCAGATGAGGTGAGATACATTAACCTATAAATTTTAATTTTATTTCCCGCCAAAAACGCACAACACAAGGGCAAAAAAAAAGCAGTAGACATGGTAGGAAGCGCCAACAAAGAAGTTTCCAAAAGAGAAAATATTTAAGAATTCATTAGAAATCTACGGATTGAACCCGTATTAATTGGGAGAGAATGTGATTAGGCCTTTAAAATCTCTCTCGAAAATTAAGTGGTGAATAATTAAGTAGTTTTGGGCTAATTGTGACACGGAAGCTTCCCTGATGTGCGTGCCGAACGTAAAAAACGGCCCATGTCCAGCACGCAAACTTCTTCTTTGACACTACGCTACTGGGGATGAGGATGGTGGTTTTACTATTGAACAGCGTTGCCGCATCCAACCGGTAAATCTCACAGATTAAATAAATCAATATGCCTTTTTTTTTTCTTCCTTCTCTCACGTTTTTAAAAAGTAGATAAAATACGCCTATATTTTATCTAATATTTTTAAATCTAATATGAGACGTATTGTTTATTATCTTATATATGTTGGAAATTTTGATAATTGCAGAATATATTATGTTGAAATAAATGTATAAAGAAGATTATCGCAAGTTTTTTAAACCTGCTACATAAGTCATTTATATATAATTTTTATCAATTTTTAAGTATGCTTTGTATCCAACATATAAAAGATTATAAATAAACTATAAAATTTCAAGCAAACTCTGTACCTTAATAATTAACTTGAAACACAATGTAAAATCTTGCCTAAAACCCTCAATTATACGGAAGCTAACAAAATAGGTGAAATAGAATCAGACATTTTCTCCTGTTGTTTGGAGCAACATTTTTTTTTATTATTATTTTTTTTTTATGGTGAGTGGTCAACATGTACTGCCGGTTCAGAGTCTTATGGTATCCTGTTGTTGCCTTGAGCCTCGATGGCATTCCTCCTTCATGGTCACATTGTTTTATTTTTATAATATTTCTATAATTTATTATTATTAATTTAGAAAGAGAGGGAGATATAAAGATTGAAACTATTTCAATGTTCATATAAGGTTATATAAGGTTAAATAGAAAATAAATATAAATAATAAGATTATATAATTAATAAATATATGAATAAATAGATATAAATATAAACAATAATTGATAAATATATACAGCCTTCATTGGTGGCGCTCTCCGCGGGAAAGATTCCTCCACCGGTGGACTGCGAGAGTTCTTTCCCCCAGAGTGGGCAGGTCTAGGTGTTGGCTGGCGTTACCCACCTCAAGACCAAGATGGTACTTGTAGATGGTAGCCTTTGCCACACTTGTTATTTTCACTGCCTCAGGATGGAGGCCGACGCCGAAGAGCCAGGCCTGCAGATCCAGGGGCACTTCGCAAGAGGTGAACACCTCCCGGAGCAGGGGTCGCACGGCTCGGCAATTCCAATATCTGTGGGTCAGGGACCCGTCGCTGGACCCACAGGCGGCACAGTTGGCACGCCTCGAGGCAGGATGGGGTAGGCCATGGAGGGCCAGCTTAGGGCGACATCTGCGTCGTGCCCCGAGAAGCAGTTCCGACGCAGGTCCGCCCAGGGTATGGTGCGGGGCACATCTACGGTGGGGGTCCACCGGGCAGCCAGCTCTGCAGTAGGGTGCGCCTGCAGCCGTGCCGAGTCCAATGCCCGGCGGGCCCTCTGGCTGGTAGGATGGGTAATGGAGGTCGCCGATCCCCGCAGGACCATGGTCTCCACTTCGTGCTCCGCGTGATAGCTGGAGCTGGCGTTTTCCCGCAGGAGACGTTGGCAGAAGGCCCCCAGATGCTTCGCGGCCCGCGTTGATCGCGCTAGTGCAGGGGCGCCATCGGAGAAGTCATCGACAGTCGCCTGTAGCCAGCGCTCAAGAGCCAGCAGGTCTGGCGGCCGCAGGAACCTGTTGTCGCATCGAAGACGCAGGGACCTCAGGCTGGCGGGATGAAGAACCTGGTGGTCAAGCTCGAGGACGCTGGACGCGGCTTCCCACAGGCTCAGCAGTCTCCTCCTCCTGGGCGAGAGCCAGACGTCAGGAGCCGGCGGTGTCAGCCACGCCTGGCTGCGGACCAGCCAAGAGTAGCCGTTGGCGACGCCGCGAAGAGAGGCCTGGACCCCCTTCAGGCAGGCGAGCCGATGCTGGCCCGCGATGTCAAGCAGGCCGACGCCACCATCGGAGACTGGACGAGCCAGGATGTGCTCGGGGAGCCACGAGACTCTGCTCGTACCCCACACGAAGCGCGCCAACCGCGCCTGCAGGCGGCCGACGGTGGTTTCAGGTGGAAGGTAGCCGTGGAGGGGTGCAGAATGGAACCCAGGACCAGGCTGTTGGCCACGCGAGCACGAGCCACCAGTGACAGGCCGCGGGTGAAGGGTGACCACCTCGCGATGGCTCGGTCCAGCAGCCCCATCAGGTGTGAGGACTGGGAGGTGACGGTGGTGTTCCTGGTGGTGATGGTGCAGCCCAGGACGGTTAGCGACTCGGACGTCCAGGCGATTCCCATAGGAGAATCCATCCGGTGCTTCCAGGAACCGCACCAGAGCCCGCAGCTCTTCTTGAAGTTGGCAGCCACCCCGGAGGACATGCGCAACTCTTCGAAGATCAGGGGCACGAGCTCAAACTGAGCGTCGACCCTGATGAAGAATACGATATCGTCCGCATAGGCGACCACACTGCCGCGGCCCAAGGTCCTCTCGAGGCACCGTAGAAGGTCCAACACCGATGCTGAAAAGCGCGGCGCTGAGACGGAGCCCTGCTTCACCCCGTTGAGAAGCGGGAAGGCCTTGGTCTAGACATCTCCGACCCGGATGGAGGCGTCTGCTTCCCCGTAGAGGACAGCAATCCACCCTAGGTAGGTGGTAGGCCCAGCTTCTCCAGCAGGGCAAACAGGTAGCTCCTGCTCAGGGTGTCGAAGGCCGACTTCAGGTCCAAAGATATGATAGCCAGCGGCGTGTCATGTCTCGCAGCCCAGGCGACTTTGTCAGACACTTGCGCAATATACCAGGAGGATGAACGTCCTGGAACGGAGTAGGTCTGACACTCAGTCACGATGTCTGGTAGATGACGGCGCAGACGACCCATGAGCACGCTGCTGAGGACCCTGTAGTTGGTCGTTGGAAGGCTGATTGGGCGAAATGCCTGTAGACCCGGACCACCGTGCGACTTCGGCAGCAATATGCCTTGCTGCGCCTTGAAGATGGAGGCAAGGCCCCGCGGAGTCGAGAAGCCTCGAAGACTTGCCAAAGAAATATTCAAAGGCTTTGACAAATTCTCAGGGTAATCCGTTCCATCCCGAGGCACGGCCATTTGGCAGGCGGTGGATGGCTGCCGCTATCTGGTCGCAGGAGATGTCAGCGAGAAAGAGCTGGTCCCACTCGTCGAACTCCAGGAAAGTCACTTCAGCTAGGAATTCGGCGATGGCTTCTTCCGAGCTTGAAGCCTGAGCGGAGCGACCTCTTAAGCGTTCTCGAAGGAAACGCCTAAGCTGGCTCCCGGAGATAGCATCGCCGTTGTCGTCGGTGAAGGTGGAGGGAGAGCGACGTCTGGCTCGGAGGGAACGCCCGGACAAGGAAGGATAGTGGGAGCGGGCAGTATCGTCCTCCAGTCTCCGCCTTAGGAAAAGGTTTTCTCTCTCGATGTATCCACCGCCGGACTCAGCGACGGCAGGCGCGAATTATCTTATATCCACGACCAGATCTGCCTTAATACTGGTCCATTGTTCCCATAACATCGGAGGTGAAAGATTTGCTAGGTCTTACAACATTTCACCGATGAACGTTTCCTTTCGATCGAAGAACAGGTCTGACAGTAGCAACTTGCCGATGTAGGGAAGTCTTGTAGGAGCTGGTTCTCCTACTTGGATCAGGACGGCACGGTAGTCCGAGTAGGCGTAGTCGATGGTTTGGTATTGGGTGACACGGTCGCAGAAACCTGATGGAAATAGGATTCTATTCAGACGACGCGCGTCGACCCAACTTCCGATAGTAGCAACTCTGGTGTGCTCCAGTGCAGCATCGAAAAAGGTGGCGACGTCGACGA